AATCCAGTCCCCACTCTAGTGCAGCTTTCTTTTGAATTTTCCACTGAAATGGTAAGAATCTTGGGAGTTCTTGCATCCTGCTTTGCCCAGGGAGAACACAGGATTGTGGAGACCGAACAATCCAAAGCTTTTAGGCAGCATTTTGGGCTTTGGTCCTGGCCAACATGCCCAATTGCCCCGATTGGACCCGCTGCTGGACATAGGCTGGATCCAGCTGGAGTTCCTCAGCACAAAACAACAGTTGCTCCACTATCTCTACTCTTTCTGCTAGATCTGGTGTAGTGGATTTTTCTGACGGTCCTGTCAGTGATCCTGTATCCTCCTGAGTGTCTTCCCAATCCCACTCTTCTTCTGACTCACTGTCTTGGACCACTTATCACAGTCTGCCTCCAGGGGATCAAACTGTGCCTGCAGTCTGGGTGACCTTCAGTCTACCTCCGCACCACTGCCATTCCCCACTGGCTCACCTGAAGACTAGCTGTCTTTACACTCTGGCTCCTTCCAAGTGGGGCTGACAAGGTGTACAGGTATAGTTGGCTTCTCCGAGACACTTGCTGGTTCCTTCTGAACAGCACTGGTGGGCACCGACCCTTTAGCAGCATCTCCAGATGAACTGTAAGTGGCAGCAGGCTTCAATCCTCTGCCATAGGTGTCCTCAGTCTTTGCGGGGGAATCTCGGTCCTGGGAATGACTCGTGTAGTCCATGTGAATACAACAGAAACCAATACTCTAAGGAAAAACTTTCTAAATGCTATACAAAGAGCCCTCCAGCCTGACCACACTGAACCCACTGACTCACACCCAGGCTTCTAACAAACCTCTAACTACAGTACCAACTATGTACACAAGAGGACGCTACACTAGTTTGGGCATCACTCTGCAGAGAACCGTAGTTGTCCAAGAGAGGAGTGTAGAGGGGTGGAGGAGACAATGGACCATTTCTTGCTTCAGTGCCTCAATATAGAAGTTTATAAGTGGGTGGGTGGGGCTCTGGGTATTCATTTCCATTCCTGTCTAAGATCAAGTGTAGCATCTATACTTATCAGTTTTTGATAGTCAAAATGCCAGTATTTCTTGTTTTCGAGATAGTAGTTTCCTGACGTAACAAGGTGGGTATGGTGCGAGGGCACATTTCCTTCTGGGTTGAATCTGGCCTGCTTCGCCAGGCATGTCCCCTGTCAAAGGCAGAGTTCTCCGTAAGTACCAATGCATTTATGGTAGGAATAGTACTGCATTTGTCTGGCCAGAGACTGGGCTGAGAAAAATCTGTGCTGTTTGTGCCCCTGGAGAGGCAGGGTGCCAGAAATTCACAGTGGAGTGACTCACTTTGTGTTTAGTATGGCACCATGGTCACAACACTCATGCAATAAGTACATGGAATAGTGTTGGTGCACAAAATGTCCTCTAGTTAGCCCATAGCCCCACTTGGATAAGGAAAATGAAGGGATGAAAGGGGAAGCTTGAAGAGAGATCCTACAGCTAGGTCCGGCAGAGGATTCTAAGTGGTTCCAGAACAGTGCACAGTTCAAGGCTGGCCTTGCAAAAGGGAGCAGAAGCAGATCTCCAGATGAGCGTGTAAAGGTGGAGAAGACACCACTAAGTGTAGACTGTAAACACTTTGTTACAAATCAATTAAAATTGCACTCACGTTTTGAGAGATATACATGGGTACATCTTTAGTATATGGCTATCTTCCAGGGCAGATGTGGACATGCTGCAGATGTAGAACATGCAGAAGCTGGATCTGGAGCAAGTTTGGGGCATGATTGACTTCTGTATTGCTACACAATGTGATCGATAAAGAATTTATATTGTGGGTTACTTTTGTTTTCTTAATTTAATAATAAAGAGTTGTCAAATGAGTAGAGGGGCATTATCTGGGGAACCCTTTACATTTAAAGGGGCTTCAAGAATTAAATAAGCTCTCCACCCACTGCGGCACCCACATAGTATCCTCCCCATTTTCAGGGTATGTGGCCTGGTATAGCACCCTTGCCCTACCTTTTCTGGCCCACCATGCTACATTCCACTGCTTCCCTAACAACAGGGAGCCTTGAACAGGAAGCTGTCACATTTAGCAGTGATAGTAATACTACTGTTAAATATTTCACTTCCTGCTGCAAATGGAGATTCGGAACAGCTGAACACCCATTTGGTTCAAGCATCCTTGAAGGCAGGTGATCATAATGCTGTCTGTATTTTGCACTTAGTGCCTAAAGTGTAATTATTCAGGCGTTAACTGTGAGCTGTGGTGTGACTTCCCCCTGCTTTGTCATTTCCAGTTATGAGGGGATATATGTGGGTGGAGGTGGAGCATCATGGCCTTTTGGCCTGTGTGAAGTTGAAATAAGACCATACACGTGAGATGTGATCCTGATACAAAGTTTTGGGCTACCCTGTAGTGGGACCCTGATATAGGACAATAAACGTAACTTTAACTGCCTTGTGGGGACACAAATCAAGCTTATCTAAAAGGCATAGACACCACAGCACAGCAAAGCCACAGTTCTTTACAGCACTTATATTAGAGAGAATGGAACGGTTACATTTATTCTGAAGGTTGCACCAAAAATGTTCCTACCAAAATTGCTAAGAATTGTATGACCATCTAAAGTACTTCAGTAAAAGAAGTTCTGGTTGAGAACAACATCTAATCTGATTTAATTGATGTAGGCAGGGTGGCTTGGTGCTTGGTGGACCCTACAGAGTACCTGGGCACCTTAGGACCCACTGTTGAACAGAACCCTCCTAGGGACTGGGCCTGGAACCACATGTGTGCAAGGTCTTGCAAAGTAAGTGTGGTGGCTCCCCTCTTTGCCTTTGAGTTGAACATGACAAAGCATAAAAGTGAAGGGAATCAGCGCTCAATGCTGTTCCCCTCAAAATGACTCTGTAGTCAGTGCCAGTACAGGAGTCACTGAAAGGTGTACATTATTCTTCTGTATGTGGGTCCCTGGGAAGTAAATTGGCTTCAAGCTATGAGGTGGCACTAACCCAAATGTAAAAGAACAGAAATCAATCAGCATGCAGTTCCCCCATGCTAACATCTTGAACAGTGGAGATTGCATTATTGATTAACAGCAAAGTTTCAGCATGTGTGGAACACTGGGATAATGCCCAGAAAATATTTAATAGATTGTATCTAGCAACTTATAATATTTCCAAAATATATCCGTCCAAGTCTCCAATATGTTAGAGATGTAACGAACAAGTTGGAACTCTATATCATATTTTGTGGAGTTGCAAACATTTACATAGCTTTTGGAACTTCTGTATCTGCCTCTATATCAGCTTTTATGGGAAATTTACCTGCAGTTATGGCATTACTAGAAATATATTTAGATATAAGGATATATCCTTTACAATATAGAACAATAGTGGCTCGCTTACTAATAGCTGCTAGACTCACTATTACAAAACTCTGGAGGTATAATGATGCTCCCTATCTAGTGCTTTTGCAAGACTAAATATTCAAGCTCATTATGAATTAATGTTGGCATATACGTTTGCCTTTGAGTTATAGACATGAGCTCTAGATTTAAGAAAACTTGGCCAAAATAAGTAAACTTAAAACACCATACCAAATATTATGACAATATAGCCCATATGTATCAATTGAATTGTCACGCAAACTGATTTTCAGGAAAATTTGCCAACAATTTCATCTGTATAACAAGCAAGTCTCCCCTGAAAAACATTTTAGGGGAGACTTCTTATTATAGATGTAGCAGTTGCTTGACCATTCAATTGATATGTATACCATGTTGTCATAAAATGTATGTTTTTTTTTTTTTATTTTAATAAAAAAAAAACAAACAAGATTTTAACATTTGGTGTTTTTCAACTATACAATATATGGTGTCTTTAAAGTCCCAAATTTTTGCTTGTACATATTTATCTATTATAGGGGTGTAGGATGCTGGTACTGTGTGAAACGGCATGAAATCGGGGGACCACTATATAGTGTTGTGGTTAGACAAGGTAGGGACTCAGTGTCTAGAATAGCTGGGTGTGCGTCCAAGATCTGGGTCTTCCAGCAGGACATTGACCCCAAACATACGTCAATGAAAAGCTACTCAGAAATGGCACCACTCTGAATTTACTTTATAGAACAGGAGATAGACTGTTGTCACAAAAGAACAAAGTTGTCTGAAATCCGATTTATTTTATGAGGAAGTAAGCAAAAATGTAGATAAAGGAGTGGCTGTGGATATACTGTAGTATACTTAGATTTTGCTTTTGACACAGTTCCCCAGACACGGCTATTGTGTAAGTTAAAGTTTATTAGTTTAGAAAATTCAGTTTGAAATGGGTAGAAATCTGGTATTCAGAGAGTAGTGATTAATGATTCATACTCTGAATGGTCTAAGCTTATTGGTGGTGTACCCAAGGTTTTGTGTTGGGACTCTTAAATTTGAACCTATTTATAAATAATATAAGGTATGGTATTAAAAGTATAATTTCAGTCTTTGCAGATGACATCAAGCTATGCAGTGGAATAATGTCCTTACAGGATGTCTCCAACTTACAAGCAGACCTCAATGAACTATTTAATTGGGCAACTATATGGCAGATGAGGTTTAATGTTGATAAATGTAAGGTTCTACACTTGGGGGCTAACAATATGCATGCATCATACATACTAGGGGGCAGTAGTGTATTTAGGTTTTGTGCTGCCCTAGGCAACACAAAAATCTTCTGCCCCCACAGACACCGACCAACACCACCCCCGCTTCCCCCTCCAGCAGAGAGAGCCTGACATTAACCAACAACACCCCTGCCCCCCACCCGGGAGAGCCTTCCACTATCCTCCCTGATGATAGAGAAAAAGACGCTCATCCTCACAGCTCCGGACATCCCCGGGAACGAGAGTCAGGCTCTACATACACCATCAAGCAGCTGCAGCCTCACTTGGATCCCACCTGGCTCCCATGGCATGCGTGCCCCTTTTTTCATCCCTTCTTCTGAGGCGAGGTGCTGCCCCCCTGAAAACTGCCACCCTAGGCAAGTGCCTTGTTTGCCTTGCGGTAAATACGCCCCTGCTAGGGGGGTACAACTGGGGGAATCAATGGTGGAGAAGGATCTGGGGGTTCTGGTAGATCATAAGCCTAATAATAGCATGCAATGCCAAGCTGCGGTTTCTAAAGCTAGCAAAATACTTGTATTAAAAGAGGTATAGACTCCAGAGAGAGAGATATCATTCTACCCCTGTACAAATCATTAGTTAAAACTCATCTGGAATACGCAGTTCAGTTTTGGGCACCAATTCACAAAAAGAACATTGGGGAACTGTAGAAAGTACAGAGAAGGGCAGCCAAACTGATAAGAGGCATGGAGGAGTTCAGCTGTGAGGAAAAATTAGAGGAATTGAATTTATTCTCTCTTGAGAAGATGAGATTAAGAGGGGATTTGACCCCATGTATAAATATATAGGTGGTCTATATAGAGGCCTCCTCACAGTAATGCTGGGTACACACCATTGTCTTTTATTTCAACCCAAAAAAACCCCCAAGAGCTTGGGAGGACCTCACTGTACTAACTATCTGACGTTAGTACAGCGATCTCCCCGCTGAGCTATTGTGTTCTGACACGGGGGCTGCTCCCCCTGCCCCCCTCCCCCACAAGAACACACTGGTCAGCGCTGGATGCCGATCGGATGCTGGTTTTCCAGCATGCCCGTTCAACAGAAGTGTGCACACAGGCCGAATGTTGGCGGGCTTCTACTGAAGTGGCCAATACCATCCAATATTCGGCCTGAGTATATGGGGCTTAAGAGCTGAGAAACCATGGAATAGACTCCCTCAAGAACTAGTTTGGCCAGCTTAGTAGATTGTTTTTAAAAAAGTGCTGGATGCATTTCTAAACGTATAAAATATAATTGGATATTAACATTTATAGGTAATAGCACAAGGAATTGTTGATCAAGGGAATTTCTGATTGCCTCCTGGGGGTTCAGGAAGAAATGTTTCCCTCGCTGGAGAAAACTGATCAGTGCTGTATAGGATTTTTTTTGCCTTCCTCTGGATCAACTATGGATATATAAGATTGTGTATGCGTCTTTTTCTAACCTGACGAATGATGTAATTACAGTATATGTATATCATCTGTTTTCCCTAGGGCCATATTCATTCAGGGAAGAAGTGTTGGAACACAGGGGATGCTCACTGCCTGTGTGAGGAAACGGTATATAGGGGAGATGATGCAGTGTCAAAGAAAGCTATGACTAAGGTTTTGCAAAACTGAAATGTGTTAGCACTTCACTGATACCCTGGATTGTTTATATTTTAATTAATAAAGAATTGAAGGATCATACTCAGTCTTCAGGCCTAATATGTTTTTAATAGACTCTGCCAACAAAGAATACTGGAAAATACCAATAATACATATACACATGTACATACTGTATAAAAAGTATCCACCAGGGGCGGACTGACCATTTGGAAACTTGGGCACTGCCGAGGGCCCGGGGTCAGTAGGGGGCCCCATGAGATGCCCCTGGTACCTTTTCTATAGGCTTTTTTGAGTTTGGGCAAGGACACAGGGGCCCCATGATCCTCTATTGCCCGGGGGCCCCATGAGTTGTCAGTCCGCCCCTGGTATCCACATATACAAATTGTAACATTAGTTTCAGTTGTCTGCTAGATGTTATGACAATATCATTTATGTATATTGATAAAATAACAATAGTTCGGCGAGCTTACATAAGAAAGAATAGGGCCTGGAGCTAGATGGGCAGCATAGGCGTAAGGCCAGACATGACTGGGTTTTCAGGACAGGCTGGAGTAACACAGAGTTAAAAAAATTAGTCAGCTTTGTATAAAAGTTTGAGTATCCCATCTGATTGGAGGAACATTGGGTGGGATGGTGCGAGGCAGGGTGGGCCCTGGAAGGGAAAAAGTGGTGGAGCATTTTCCTCAGGGGCAGTCGGAGCTAGTACAGCAAAGAACAAGCTTCTCCCTCCCGCCTGTGATACCTAATTTGGCCTCAGATTGTTTTCACCTTTTGTTAATTGCCTTGATGTTTGTTCATTTGGGGGTGTTCTTCATTTTCTTTCTGGGTTGTCTTGTAGCAGTTGGCAGGGGGTCTCAGGGTCTTTTAAGGCAGTGACTGGTAAAATTGTTTGAGAATGAGCGGGTTGGGCCCATCTCAGGTATGGGTGTACCTTCCCGAGATAAGTGAAGGAGTAATGTATTAACCTCAATACAGCTGAATGACTCTTATCTGGATATTAAATTGTCCTCGAGGTGGTGTGTGTGCGGCTGGGGGCCTTCAAGTCTATGTGGTGGTAGATATAGCCGGTCGGTTGAATATAAGTTGCCCTAAAAGACCATTAGACTTTAAGGAGGTTAGTTACTGTAATTACTTTGTGGTCAGTGATGTTCACATATTTAAAAAAAAGATGTAAGTTTTAATAAAGTTGCATTTTATTGTTCTTCCAATAAAATGGTTGCTATGGCCGTTGAATTCCAAGTAATAAGATTGCATTGTCTGTTATTGGGGGGGACTCAAGTAATGGGGTGGTTATAAAGGGTACGGAAGCCAATAGTATCTGCAATACCTCAGTCATGATTTACACAAACATACACACAAACATACACACATTCTATTACTATTCTCAGTTGGCCACTAGATGTCACCACAATATCAACTGTTGCCGCTCATTTGTTTTTTTTTCTCATGAATCCACCATAAATATAAACCTTTTCTTTGAAGGGGTGCCATCTGTTCCCTTTTCTCTGGGACCAACCCCATTTTGGAGGATCTGTCTCTGGGAAATTAGCATCCCCTGCAACTTTTCAATCTTGCCTCTGGTGCTGGGTGGCATATACTAAACATTGCACTGTGGAGGTGTTGCACTTTGCACCACTCCAAAATGGTGTTGCTGGTCCCTACCATGTGTGTGTGGCTTCAGTGTTGCATGCATGAATTGATTTGCACCTGTTCAGTGCGACCACACTGATCCTTAACACCCGCACAGTTGAAAAGCAGCACAGTGGCTAAATGGTTAGCACTTCCGCCTGCCTGGAGTTTACATGTTCTCCCTGTGCCTGTGTGGGTTTCCTCCAGATACTCTGGTTTCCCCACACTCCAAAAACATGCTGGTAGGCTGATCAGCTCCTGTTTAAATTGGTCCTAGTATGAGTGTGAGTTATGGACCTTAGATTACACACTCCTTGAGTGCTAGGGACTATATATACACATATAAAATACTGCGTGAATTGATGGTGCTATATAAGTACCTTTAATAAATAAATAAAAATAAAAATTGTAAATATTTGCACAGCTTGCTGTTTTCTCATGTGGTCTTCAAAAAGGAGGGAGAGAGGAGGGGGACGGATAAACTTATTATTATTATTATACAGGATTTATATGGCGCCAACAGTTTGCTCAGTGCTTTACAATATAAAGGGAGACAATACAGCAACAATACAGTTCAATAGAAGAGGGATAGGAGGCCCCGCTCCTTGGAGCTTACAATCTAAGAGTATATACATACACAGGCACGTGGCTGGCAGCTGCCTGGACGCAGGTAGCTTAATACAACGGTCCCCAACCTACTTTGCACCAGAGACCAGTTTTGTGGTAGCCAGTTTTTCCAGGGACTGGAAAGAAGTGAGGGGGGCTCACTGGGGTAGTTGGTGACAGGATATTCTCAAAGTCAGCCCCCCCCCTCACACTACATTCCCTTTTTACAGCACCGTCTCCCCTTTATATCAGTATCCGCAGTCCCCCTTTACATCACAGTTCCGCCTTTAAAGCAGCCCCAGAGTGTGCCCAGACCCCCTTTACATTATAGTGCCCTTTACAGTGCAGTCCCCTTTACATAACACTATGCAGTCCACTTTACATCACAGCCCCCCTTTTACCCCTTTACAGTGCAGTCCACTTTACATCAACAGCCCCCTTTACTTACATTATAGTGCCCCTTTACAGTGCAGTCCACTTTACATCACAGCCCCCCTTTACATTATAGTAGTGCCCCTTTACAGTGCAGTCCACTTTTTACATCACAGCCCCCCTTTACGTTATAGTGCCCCTTTACAGTGCAGTCCACTTTACATCACAGCCCCCCTTTACATTATAGTGCCCCTTTACAGTGCAGTCCACTTTACATCACAGCCCCCCTTTACATTATAGTGCCCCTTTACAGTGCAGTCCACTTTACATCACAGCCCCCCTTTACATTATAGTGCCCCTTTACAGTGCAGTCCACTTTACATTATAGTGCCCCTTTACAGCAGTCCCTTTACATCACAGCCCCCCTTTACATTATAGTGCCCCTTTATAGCGCAGTCTACTTTACATCACAGCCCCCCTTTACATTATAGTGCCCCTTTATAGCGCAGTCTACTTTACATCACAACCCCCCTTTACATTATAGTGCCCCTTTACAGTGCAGTCCACTTTACATCACACTGCCCCTTTACATTATAGTGCCCCTTTAGTCAGTCCACTTTACATCACACATTGTAGTGTCCCCAGCGCAGTCCACTTTACATCATTACATTAGTGTCCCTTTACAGTGCAGGCCACTTTACAGTTCAGACCCCCTTACATTAATGTAACGTGGACTACACAGTAATAGAGGGACTGTGATGGGAAGGGGACTGCACTGAAAAGGGGCACGGTAATGTAAAGGGGACTGCGCTGTAAAGGGGCACTGAGATGTACAGGGGGGCTGTGATATGAAGAGGACTGCACTATAATGTAAAGGGGGGCTGTGATGTGAAGAGGACTGCACTGTAATGTAAAGGGGGGGGGCTATGATGTGAAGGGGACTGCACTGTGATGTAAAGGGGGGCTGTGATGTGAAGGGGACTGCACTGTAATGTAAAGGGGGCTATGATGTGAAGGGGACTGCACTGTAATGTAAAGGGGGGCCTGTGATGTGAAGGGGACTGCACTGTAATGTAAAGGGGTGCTGTGATGTGAAGGGGACTGCACTGTAATGTAAAGGGGTGCTGTGATGTGAAGGGGACTGCACTGTAATGTAAAGGGGGCTATGATGTGAAGGGGACTGCACTGTAATGTAAAGGGGTGCTGTGATGTGAAGGGGACTGCACTGTAATGTAAAGGGGGCTATGATGTGAAGGGGACTGCACTGTAATGTAAAGGGGGGCTGTGATGTGAAGGGGACTGCACTGTAATGTAAAGGGGGGCTATGTGATGTGAAAGGGGACTGCACTGTAATGTAAAGGGGGGCTGTGATGTGAAAGGGGACTGCACTGTAATGTAAAGGGGGGCTGTGATGTGAAGGGGACTGCACTGTAATGTAAAGGGGGTAAAGGGGTGTGATGTGAAGGGGACTGCACTGTGATGTAAAGGGGGGCCTGTGATGTGAAGGGGACTGCACTGTAATGTAAAGGGGGGCCTGTGATGTGAAGGGGACTGCACTGTAATGTAAAGGGGGGCCTGTGATGTGAAGGGGACTGCACTGTAATGTAAAGGGGGGCCTGTGATGTGAAGGGGACTGCACTGTAATGTAAAGGGGGGCTGTGATGTGAAGGGGACTGCACTGTAATGTAAAGGGGGGCCTATGATGTGAAGGGGACTGCACTGTAATGTAAAGGGGGGCTGTGATGTGAAGGGGACTGCACTGTAATGTAAAGGGGGGCTGTGATGTGAAGGGGACTGCACTGTAATGTAAAGGGGGGCTGTGATGTGAAGGGGACTGCACTGTAATGATGTGAAAGGGGGCTGTGAATGTGAAGGGGGGCTGTGATGTGAAGGGGACTGCATGTGATGTGAAGGGGGCCTGTGATGTGAAGGGGACTGCACTGTGATGTAAAGGGGGGCCTGTGAAAGGGGGGCACTGTAATGTAAAGGGGGGCCTGTGATGTGAAGGGGACTGCACTGTAATGTAAAGGGGGGCCTGTGATGTGAAGGGGACTGCACTGTAATGTAAAGAAGGGCCTGTGATGTGAAGGGGACTGCACTGTAATGTAAAGGGGGGCCTGTGATGTGAAGGGGACTGTACTGTAATGTAAAGGGGGGCCGGTGATGTGAAGGGGACTGCACTGTAATGTAAAGGGGGGCTATGATGTGAAGGGGACTGCACTGTAAAGGGGCACTGTAATTATTACAATGCAGTCCCCTGTATATCACAGTGCCCCTTTATTTTACAGTACTTCTAACAATCACAGCCCCCCACCACATTGCCTCTTGCAATTGCCCCACATTGCCCCCCCCCCCCCCGCACAGTCTACATTTGATAGGGAAGAGGCAAGATTCAACCTGTGTCTCCTCTCCTGGCTCTCCCGCCCCTCCGACTATGTCTTCCTATCAGAAGGGCAGGGGGCTAGAGGAGCTGCAGATCTAGATGGAGGGTGGGAGCTGGCCAACATCATATTAACAAGAGGGTGATAACTCACTTATTATGAGAAGTTTCCCGCTCTCTGTGCAGATCTCCTACTCTTCCCGCCCCCTGCCCTGCTGATAGGATGACATCATCGGTGGGGTGGGGTGGGAGAGGAGACAGAGGCATAACCGCACAGCAGGAGGTGAGCAGCGACCGCGGTCTGTGATAGCCCTGTCCAGACTGTGGTTGCTCACCTATCTATGTATGGCCTGGGCATCAACTGGCCACGGACTGGTACTGGTCTGTGCTCTGAGTGTTGAGGACCCC